TTTTCTTTATAAATTATCCAGTCTCAGGTATGTCTTTATAGCAGTGTGAGAGCAGACTAATACATCAACCAAATGAATGTCATTTGGTTGACATCATTTAGGGATCATATTAGGGATATGAAGAGCCTGACATCATATTAGGGATATGATAATATCACATCACAGCATAACATACTACTAAGATGCTTCCTAAGGTACCACTTTAAAGAATAACCAAGATAGAGCATATGTTTGTGTAACATTGTTTTTCGTTTTCTACAGCAGCAGGGATTTTTAAATTTTCATTTTTATTATTTATTTATTTATTTTTTGAGACAGGGTCTTGCTCTGTTGCCCAGGCTGGAGTGCAGTGGTGCAATCTTGGCTCACTGCAGCCTTGACCTCCTCAAGCAATCCTCTTGCCTTAGCTTCCTGAGTAGCTGGGACCACAGGTGTACACCACCATACCTGGATTTTTAAAATTTTTAGTAGAGACAAAGTCTTGCTATGTTGCCCAGGCTGGTCACAAACTCCAAGATTCAAAAGATCCTCTTGCCTTGGCCTCCCAAAGTACTGAGATTATGGGTGTGAGCCACCACAATTGGCCAACAACACTAATTTCTATTTCCTACTTTGTTTAGGGCCCAAATCTTGGAATTGTTTTTGATCACTCTCTTTCTCACATTCCACACCTAAACCATCAGGAAATCCTGGTATCTTCAAATCCTCTACCTTCAAAATACACAATCAGATCACCTCTCATCACCCATGCTTAGATTATGGCAACAACTTCCTGATAGTCTCTTTGCTGGCACTCTTGGCACGCCCTTTCCCAGAAGCTCAGCAGTCAGAGGGATCCTTTTAAAACATAAGTCATATCTTATCCTTACTGTATTCAAAATTCTCTGCTGGCTCCCAGCTCACACAAAGTAAAAGCCAAAGTTCTTACAGCAGTTGGCAGAAGTCCTTACAAATGGCCACAAGGCCGTTTGTCGTCGTGCCCCTGCACCTGCTTACCTCTGTGAACCAGAACTTTCCCCCTCTCTCTGCTCTAGCTGCTCTGATATACGTTTCTTTCCTGCCTCAGGGCCTTTGCACTTGCTGTTACCTCTGCCTGGAATGCTCTCCTCCCAGGTGTCCACGTGGCTCACTCAGCAACCTTGGGGCTCTCAGATGTCACGTTCTCTGTGGCCACTCTCTTCTTCCTTGTCCATCCTGTTTAAAATGGCTACCAGGCTGCGCACAGTGGCTCACGCCTGTAATCCCAGCACTTAGGGAGGCCAAGGCGGGCAGATCACCTGAGGTCAGGAGTTCCAGACCAGCCTGGCCAACATGGCGAAACCTTGTCTCTACTGAAAAATACAAAAATTAGCTGGCATGGTGACATGTGCCTGTAGTTCCAGCTACTCAGGAGGCTGAGGCAGGAGAATTGCTTGGACCCAGGAGGCGGAGGTTGCAGTGAGCTGATATCACGTCACTGTACTCCAGTCTGGGTCACAGAGTGAGACTCTGTCTCAAAAAAAATTAAAACTAACTAAATAAAAATAGATGGCTACTCCCGGTATCTCCTTTACCTGCTACAATTTGCATTGATTTTTTAAATCATCTGACACACACACATACACATACACATATTCACGTATTTATTTGCTATCTCCGTGACTAGAATATAGGGTTCATGAAGGTAAGGATTTTTATGTATTTGGTCTACTGATGTATCTCCAGTGTCTAGAACGATAGTGCCTAACATGCAGCAAAGTGCCAGTAAGTATTTCTTGAATAAATGAAGGGGAAATATTATTTTGGATTATGTGTTTCCAAAAGCAAAGATATATACAGAAGATCTTGTAATGGCTCAGGAAATCTGACATGTTTTCCTTATACTGGTATTTTCTGGTCTTTTTAAAAAATTAGCTTTATCCATTTATTACCTTCAACCTTCATAATTAATTGGGGATAATTTAATATATCAGTTCATTAATGATGTCAAGACAATGTAGCACTGGAAAGAAATCTTTCTTTGGGGAATGTAACAGTGTGTATCTGGTGAAAACATAAAAGACGGCAGAAAGAAACATCTTGTTTTTGTGTTGCGTGATCTGTTGGCATAAACGTACATATGCAGATTGCGCGAAGCCTGTTTTAGTGTTTCCTGCTTTTGATGTTGTCCCCCTCGTATTTGCTTTGTGGGTTCTCCCTTTGAAAGTGTTTTCTCTATAGGCACGCATCCAGGAAAAAGGAATGTTCATCCAGGCACGTGCAAAGTCCTGCCCACTCTAAAGATTCATTTGTAAAATAGTCGTGTTATACATCTCAGCAGACAATCCAGTATTTGTCCAGTTAGAATGACCTCTGCAGCCAGGAGAAGAAGAGGAGGGAGCGGGGTGGGGAGGAGGGACCGAACAGGCACTTGGTTCAGCTGATTGCAATTTCTCATAAATATTCAGCCTGTGTGATGCTGTTGGGATGTGTTTGAAGTGTGAAGACATGGATACGTCATATCTCATTTTCTAGAGCAGCTTTGGATGGCGTGTTTGAATTAATTCCTAAGTCAAAAGGGACACACTGGCCCTGATTTTCCTGGGACAGAAGTTAGCTCCCACCTCTTCCTGACCTTCACTCTTCCTTGCTCACTGGACTCCGCCATGATCCCCAACCCACTTTTTAGAACACGAAGCCACTTTTAGTTCCATCTTCCCAGTGCTCTCTGTGGCCCTCCCACATGTAAGATCATGTAAGATCATCACGTTCTATCTTCTTCTTTTCCTAAGGAGGACAAAGACTCTCCCCAGTGAAGCCTTTCTCTTCTCCTCAGGCCCTTCCTTCCCGACTCAGCCTTGGTTTACCACTGAGATTTGCCATATACCATACAAATGAACAAAAACATGTTACCAATTATTGGCAGTTGTTTTTTTTTTTTTTAAGCAAACGTCAAGTTGGTGATGAAGTTATCTGGGAATGTCAACCAAACCCAGAAGACTACACGAGACTACAGGAGAAGGCACTCTGAGATGAGATGATACTGACACACAATACCCATCGTATATACAGTTCTATGTGTTTAACATATATTAACCCTCTTACTTCTCAAACAACCTTATAAAGTAGGTACTACCATTATCATTCCAGCTTCACATAGCAGGACACTAAGGACCAGGGAGGTTAAATGGTGGAGTTGGAGATTCTAATCAAGGAATTCTGGCTCCAAAGATAATTCAAAGACTTGCCCCCAACTGTGGGCCAAGAGCTCAGATTCCCTGACTGTCTGCCTTGTATTCTTTCTTATCTACCTGAATTCAGCAGCTTACACTGCAGTATCTCTGCCTAGGTGGAATACCCCGTAACTGGTTAGCATGGAGAAGTTTAATACAGTTTAAGGCAGGTTTTCAGTACTGATTTTATTTCCTATCCATGGATGTTAAAATGAAATTTGCCTTCCCCAGGCTCACCCTGGAAAGTGACAGCTGGCTCTGATAAAAAATGGAACCGTCTGTCTGTGAGCCTGGGGTCAGGGTATGAAAAGACCCTGGAGATGGTTGGTCCATCAGGTGGTGGGAGGAAGGTGTGGGGGTGGAAGCTTGCCAATGAATCTTCAGAGTGTGTAATTCCCCTGGGCCCTTGTATAGCCAGTGGAGGGAGGTCCCTGTTTGATTTAGAAAAGTGAAGCTAACCATCCTTGGGGCTCTCAGTTGCCAGGGTCAGCTGTCTACATATCTTGGTTCAAACAGGATTTGGTTAGGAAAACTCTCTAGAGACTGTCCCCAACCCAGCCCTCCTCCCTGTCTTCCATCTACACCTCTGCCCAGATGACCTGTTAGATAAATACGACCTTCTGGGTTTTCAGGGTCTAAATGCAAGATCTAAAATCTACCAAAAGCAGATGCTTGCTTTTCCAGAAACAACACGAGTCCAGATATAGGGCTTCAATTGGGGCTGGAGCTTGAGGCCTGTGTTCCCTTCCTCTTCCCGGAGCTCACAGGAGCCATCCAACAGGACAGCTCAACTAATGAAAGGGGATCTTGGCCTCTCTCCATATGTAGTGCTTGGCCTTGTCCTCAGCCCTCCTCAACCCAGTCATGAATTTTTCTCTTGACTGTTTCAACCCAAATTATACTGTTAGGGGGAGCTAGGAATCAATTAAAGTCAGTACTTCCATATCCATCCATTCCTGGCCACAGAGTAGGTACTCAGTAAATTTGCCCAGCTCGCTGAAAATTGAATCTCCCACTTCAATGGGATTTTGAAAAAAGTCCATTACTCATGGCCTGGTTAGCACAATCTTCGCTTCCACTTCCGTTGGGACATGCTCTGCCTAAAAGCGAAGAGCCACAGGCCAGTAGGCCTATGCTGTTTGGCAAAAAAGAAAACAGCAAAGAAGACAGGTCCATCTTCCTTTCTCCTGGAGTCAGCACTGAATTATTTGTGGTAAAGTCCCTGCTGATGGAGTCTCTGGGCCTTTGGCTTTTTACTGTTTGGACTATTTGTATTCCTTAGCATCCCCGCCAGAGAGAGAATCTTGGGCAAGAGGTGATGTCCACAAGAGCCCATTCACTCAGTGACTGAGAGCTCTAAAGGAAGGAAAAGGAGGGCAGGAAGAAAGTCTGGAATTAATGCTTTAAATGAGGCTAAACAATTTACCCGCAGGGTTTTCATTCATCCTACTTTTTGTCTGTTTCTATCACACAGGTCACCCACCAGGAGTTGACTCTGTGACTTTACCCCTGTGAGTTGCAGGGAAGAAAAGGGTGCTAGCTCCTGCTCCAGCCAGATGCCCTCTGAGTGACTCGTGGAGTCTTACTGGGGAAATCAACTCTCCTTTACCTCAATTAGCAGTGAAGCCTACACAAAGACACCAGGAACAATGATGGCAAGAGAAGGCCACCCGCCTCTCTACACCCCTAGATGACACACTACATGATCCCAGCGGAGTACACAGAAAATTCCAAGGAGACCAGAGGCCAGGGGTCCTTGGTGGAACCATGGCAGGGAAAGTATCAGAGACAGAAATATGAGGCTCTGGGTAGTGATAAAATAAATTGTTTTAATGGAAGGCTTTCTGAGACTGCAACTTTTTCTTCTGCTATCAAACAGCCAGTTTCCCTGCCCTGGGGTTTGTTAGGGAGTGCACGGCTGAACTCCTGACCCACAGGAAGCTGGCACGTTACTCTGACACACTACGTTCAGCCCCTCCAGGGATCCAGAGGTGTGTCTTAATGTCAGGAGACTGGAGTTAGCTGGTAGTCAGTCCAAGGTATGCCATCCCCGTGAGTGTCCAGACCTGAGGGAGGGGACAAGCGGCTTCACTTCCCACTTAGGGTGTTTCTCCATGAAGGAAGAGAGAGGGGACAGATCACTTTTGAAATTTTGACTCTGACCTTTACAAAGAAAACTATTAGACACTTTAGTATTATATACAGGGCAGAGGGGAGAGGACACACAGGGGAAATTGCACTTAATTACAGTAGTTTATAGTTTACAGCCATTGGACAAATTTACTTCTTTAAAAGAAATCTCAAGATCATTTGGGATGGGGGCGGGGGAGGGAGTCTGCAGATATTTACAGTGTGTTTGGCTCAGTTCACTAGCACGTGTCCTCCTCTCCTCGTTTCAGTAACAGATTCAAGTTTTCGCATCAGTTTGTTCGATGAAGGATCACAACGTAGACAGTACGGCTTTCTTGCTTCCTCTTTGGCGGTTCCTTGTCTCCCACCTCCAGGACAGACAGGAGTCCGTGACATCGTGGGAGGGGCATCGTGGCAATACTGCATAGAAGGGAAGCTGGGTTTCAGGATGCGCCTCCTGAGAGTGGATTGTCTGAGGTGCCAGCAGGACGTCCGTCGGGTAAGCAGGGACCTCTCGCAGGTGCTTGTCAGGTCACTGGGCTTTTCCACGACAGCTGCCCAGAGGCTGATGGTGTGGAAAACACGGTCCTTGTTGCTGCGCACAAAGTAAGTGATGTGTAGGCATCACCAGGCTTGCAGAGGACACTGCAGAGAGAGAGGAGGGAGAGTGCTCAGCTGTGTCATTTGGCAGGGACATGGGCCATTAGTTTGGCTTCTCTAAGGGAGCTGATGCCGAACTCCACCAGCAAAGGGCAGCAGGTGGAGGGCTGGGGGCCTCGTGTCTGCTCAGTTCCGCGGTTTTCATGCTGAGGCGCACTTCCTGCAGGAAAACCTGGGAGCCGGCTTTCCCGGCCACTTCAGAAGAGAGAAGTGAATCGTTGAGGACCTTGAAATAGTCCTAATTTGCTGACCTTAATCCTGAAGTTGGGCCCCTCTTTCTGTGAGTGCCCAGTGTGCTTGAAAAGGCAGCTGGATGGTGAGCTCTTGCCTCTCATGGACACAAGGGTCTCTTCCTAAGACCTCTAAGAGCTGAGGTCTCCTATACTAATGCTTCCCAAACTTTAATGGACCCACGAGTACCAGGGAGCCTGTGAAAATGTGGATTCTGGTTTAATTCTGACTTGTAGGCCTGCGGTGGGCCTAAGAGTCTGCATTTCTAACAAGTTCCCAGGGTGTGCCAGTGCTGCTCCCCTAGGGCCGCAAGGCCAGAAAGCACATGAGAAAATGACCACTCAAACTACTCATCAGGAAGGAGCTTTGCAAATTGCAAAGTGCTTTCTACAGGTTTCTTACTTTGGCATAAGAAACTCAGAGGACCAGGGAAAGGATCCAAAGGCTGAAGGCCTCTGATGCCATCCTTGTGGGTGGACCAGGGCAGGAGACCCCAGAATGGCTGGAGAAGCCCTCAAGAGAAGCCACCTCACCCAACTCAGGGCAGCCTCGCCCTCCAGTGCCTGGGCCTTACTCATTTGAACCGTCATGGAGCGTCCCTGCTCTCCTTTTCACTTCTGGGGAGTCTTTTTGTCTCCCTGTGTCTCCTCCTTCCCTTTTGTTTTTGTTGGCATCTAAGGTTCTGCCTTTGACTTAGTGGCTTATTCTCTCAAGATCCCCCCCAAACACACACACACACACACACACACACACACACACACGCCTACAAATACTACTAAAGGCCACTGTTACCACATTGATCAGTGCTCCAACCATAACCCTATATGAGGATACCATTATGTCTATTTGACAGATTAGGAAAACAAGGCTAAAAGAGTCAGTGAATTATCCAAGGTTTGAGAACTAGGAGAGTGTGGAGCCACAGCCTCAAACTAGCTGTGTAGGTGACCACTCAGAGTGTGCTCTTTCAATCATGCTTGGAGGTGGGGAGCCTTCTACGAAGTTTTGTGCTCTTGGACAAGTCACTCTCTGTGTGCCTCAGTTTCTTCCCCTATAAAATGGGAGTTGTTGTGTGATTCGACGAGTCAACACCTGCAGAGTCCTGAGAGTGGTCCTTGGCACAACTGTTATTATTAACATGGGGTTCTTCAGCCCAAGCCCGTGCTGCTCCTCAGTGCTCTTAAGAGTGGGGCTGAAGGCCGGGCACGTTGGCTCACACCTATAATCCCAGCACTGTGAGAGGCCAAGGCGGATGAATCATGAGGTCAGGAGATCGAGACCAGACTGGCTAATATAGTGAAACCCCATCCCTACTAAAAATACAAAAATTAGCCGGGCATGGTGGTGCGCACCTGTAGTCCCAGCTACTTGGGAGGCTGAGGCAGGAGAATTGCTTGAACCTGGTAGGTGGAGGTTGTGGTGAGCCAATATTACGCTCCTGCACTCCAGCCTGGGCAACAGAGCAAGACTCGGTCTCACAAAAAAAAAAAAAAAAAAAAGAGTAGAGCTGAGCAGTGTGTGCATGTGAGGAGACAGGCTTCTGATCCTTCTACATTCTTGAGACGTTGGTCAGGGTCCTCTGATACCCTTTGCCTCCTCTTCCTCCCCTGGCCCACCCCCACTCTCAAGTCTCTTTACTTCCCACTATCAGCCTTTTTCCAATTTTCAGATTTCAGGTGGAGGAGAGAGAAAACGGCTTGTGACCTTGCAGGTTTCAATAGAAGAGCAAACAAGAAGGGCAGATAAGGAGACGCCAGTGAGATTCTATGACCTGTCATTAGGGATGGGCTTCCCAGCTATCAAATGTTTGCTCACATAATAAAATGGTGGCAGAGCCCAAAATGTTGTCAAAGGAACTAGAGTTATTTGCCCCCTTCAGAGTCTAAACACAAACATCTGATAAGGGGTGCACTGTGGTCTTTTAGAACTGGAGGCCCAGCACATGCAGCCCCACGGGGGCCTGGCCCAGAAGATCTCTGAGAGACCGCGGGGCCCTCCATCTGAAAGGTGCGGTAGCTGTGGCAATGTGAAGGGCATCCTCACTCTAAGAGGATTTGTTACATAATGGTAAGAGCTAACATTTATCGATGTCCTACTGTGTGCCAGGCACCATACTAAGGGTTTCAGAACCATCACTGCCTCAAATTCTTACATGGACCCTTTGAAGTAGGTGATTATCGTGAATTCATTTAACACATGTTTGAGTGCCTACTGCGTACTTAGCACTTTTTTAGACACTGGAGATGCAACTGTAAACAAGACCCTGCCCACGTCTTCACAGACTTTACCTCCTAGTGAAGGCTTTGAATAATAAACAAGTAAACAAATGCACACATACACACACACACACACATATAATACAACTTTAGGTAGAAATGAGCACTCCATAGAAAAATAAACATACAGGTTAGGGCAGCTTGAGGAAAAAGAGATTACCTTAGATAGGGGAATCAGGCGAGGCCTCTTTGAAGTGGTAACATTTGAGCTGAACGAAGTGAATGGGCAAGCATGTAAAAATGCATGGAAAAAAAGAGCTCTGGGCAGACACCACAAATGCAGGAGTCCTGGAGTGGGATCTCTTCAGCTGTGGCACAGCTGAAGCTGAGCGGGCGATGGAGCGAGGGAGGAGGTGAGAACGGTGACACTGGCAGTGGCATAATCACATAGGATCCTGTATGTCTCTGTTTTAGTTAGGTTGTCATGGAAAGCTATTGGAGAGTTTTGACAGGGGATTGACATACTTGGTGTCTCTTTGTAAGAGATCACTCTGGTAAACAGACCCTAGTGGGGCAAGGGTGGAAGTGGGAGACAGGCAGGGGCCACCTAAGGAGATCAGGGAGAGACAAGGGGGCCTGGGCTGGGACTAGGACAGTCCTGATGGGAGTGTGAGAAGAGGCCAAATTTAGGATGTATCCTGAGGGCCCCCTAGTAGAACTTATTGATGGACCGATGTAATGTGGAGAGAAGAATCAGGGACACTCTCAGCTCGCTCACTTGAATAACTGGTACCAGTTTTGGAAATGGAGAAGCCCATGGAGGAAGCAATTTTGATAGGATGAAATTAGGGCAAAATGAAGAGTTCCTATTTTAGGCACATTGAATTCAAGAGGCTTATTAGATATTTTAGACATGCATCTCTCCCTGCCGAAGAAGCACTGGATTTGTGAGTAAGCGCTCAGGGAAGACTGGACTGCAGACAGAATTATAGGAGCCATCGGCGTGTACACTTGACCTAAAGCCATGGACTGGAGGAGACCACCCAGGAGTGAGCATAGATGAGAGGAGGCCAAAGAATGAGGCCTGGGGCCCTCCAACACATAAATGTGGGGAAGATGAGTTGTCAGCTGAGGAGATGAGAAATGGCCAGTGCCGTAGAAGAATCAGGAATGGTAGTATCCTAAACTCACATGGAAAAAAGGAGAGAGCGATCAGTTGTGTCAAAGACAGAGGCTGAAGAGTAACCATTGGATTCAGCAGCAGGGAGGTGTTCGTGAGCTGGACACAGTGAGGTGTGAGGACAAAAGCCAGTCTGCAGCGATCTCAAGAGAGAATTGAGGGTGAGGAAATGGAGACAGTGAGGACACATAAGTCACTTCTATGACCATGAACTTATGTGAGATTCATCGTAGCTCCATTAACTAAAAGTCATGAAAAAATGCTCATCATCACTGGCCATCAGAGAAATGCAAATCAAAACCACAATGAGATACCATCTCACGACAGTTAGAATGGCGATCATTAGGAAGTCAGGAAACAACAGGTGCTGGAGAAGATGTGGAAAAATAGGAACACTTTTACACTGTTGGTGGGAGTGTAAACCAGTTCAACCATTGTGGAAGACAGTGTGGCGATTCCTTAAGGATCTAGAACTGGAAATACCATTTGACCCAGCCATCTCATTACTGGGTATATACCCAAAGGATTATAAATCATGCTGCTATAAAGACACATGCACACATATGTTTATTGTGGCACTATTCACACAAAGACTTGGAACCAACCCAAATGTCCATCAATAACAGACTGGATTAAGAAAATGTGGCCCATATACCCCATGGAATACCAGGCAGCCATAAAAAAGGATGAGTTCATGTCCTTTGTAGGGACATGGATGCAGCTGGAAACCATCATTCTCAGCAAACTATCGCAAGAACAGAAAACCAAACACTGCATGTTCTCACTCATAGGTGGGAATTGAACAATGAGAACACTTGGACACAGGAAGGGGAACATCACACACGGGGGCCTGTTGTGGGGTGCGGGGAGGGGTGAGGGATAGCATTAGGAGATATACCTAATGTAAATGATGAGTTAATGGGTGCAGCACACCAACATGGCACATGTATACATATGTAACAAACCTGTTCGTTGTGCACATGTACCCTAGAACTTTTTTTTTTTTTCTTTTGAGACGGAGTCTCGCTCTGTCGCCCAGGCTGGAGTGCAGTGGCGCGATCTCGGCTCGCTGCAACCTCGGCCTCCCGGGTTCATGCCATTCTCCTGCCTCAGCCTCCTGAGTAGCTGGGACTACAGGCGCACACCACCACACCTGGCTAATTTTTTTTTTATTTTTAGTAGAGACGGGGTTTCACCGTGTTCGCCAGGCTGGTCTCTATCTCCTGACCTCGTGATCCGCCCGCCTCGGCCTCCCAAAGTGCTGGGATTACAGGCGTGAGACACCGTGCCTGGCCGAAGCCTAGAACTTAAAGTATATATAAAAAAAGTCATGATTATAATTCCGGTTTTACAGATGA